AGGCTTTACCGACAGAATTAGTGTCCCGTTTTTTTCATAAAGAGACAGTGCTGAAGTAAAATTTGATTGGCAGTTTCTTTAACGAGGTAGGGTTTTTTCAAAAAAGACTGATAACACTGAAGCAATTTGAGTATATATTCAAATTTATTACATAGATAATACACGTGGATTTGGTAAAGAAAAATGATTACATAGTAACATTTTGATATCTTTATAAAAATATTAATTGCAAATTGGTTGACTGTTTTTATTTTCTAGAAAAAGTAAGTTTCATATATAATAGGAATGAACTGCATAATAATCCTAGATATTATGAAGATAAAATAATTACATTGATTACATTGCTACAGTTAGGTAATGATCCTATCGTTACATTAGAAGGTAAACATTCGAAAAAGATTCAATCCTTTGATATGATTGTAATTGTTACTAATCCACTTTGCCAAGAGTCACAGTTTTTGTCGGTTGTCCACACTATTCAAAAGAATAACCAGTATCACAATTGGGCATATCATTTTTGTTTTCCACATATTCCTGTGCTCTAAACTTTTTGTGAATGTAATTGTAAGAGATTAGTTCAACTTGCACATTCTCATAATGCTCTACTGCAGCAAAAAGATCATTGTCATCATCGTCAGAAATAATCTCACATTTAATATTATCATTTACTGTTTTGTCATTCAGATGTTGCAGGGTTTGCTCGTCTTTGAGAGATCAGGGGTTTGCACAGTTTTTTTCCACCGGCCAAGATATTCTCAAAAGCATTTTCTTTGTCCAGCAATAGCGATGTTGGTATGTCAACAAGTCTACTAATGTACTTCTGCTGCTCTGATGATGTCCGTTTGTATTGTCTCACAGCTTCAGAACTATGTCCAGTTCTTTCTTTAATAATTTGCTCGTCAACACCAGACAGATACAGTGTTACTTTTCCAGAGTATCCAGTGTATCTACCTTCAAATCCTGCCTGTTTCATCAGGTTACCAATATAGGAACTTAGTGTTTTTGATGAAAGTTTGTCACTGCTAAAGTTAATATGACCTTCATACAAAGGTTCCAATGGTTTGCGGTAAAAGTAGCCACCATTTCCAATAAGATCTTAGTACTTTTTGAAGACTCTGTAGACACACAAGTTATTTCCAGTATCATATTATTTGATCTGTTTCAGGCTCACTTTTCCCTTATTCAGGCCACCAGTAGTGTTTTTTTAAGCACGACCATGATAGAGTACAAAGTTTCCGGCCTCATCTGAACTAAATGTGTATTGTTCTGCTTGCAAATTATTATGTTCATCACATGAGCGCAAGCCAAATACTTTGCAGTTGTAGAAATAGACAACTTTTGATAGTCCAACAGCATCATTTATACTCAGGAGTCCTTTGTCCCACAAACACTTTTCCTGTTCTTCAGTTATAGGTTGGGCTTGCCTTTTAACTGTCCCTATACCTTTTTCAGTGACCAGTTTCATTTGAGCGTCTAGAGTTTGTCGAAAGCGATTGAAATATACATTGTTTGGGTTGTAAAGATTCAAATCAGGTCGGTTCAATTCATCTTTTAGATATCTTGACAAGCCAGCCAGAAGTTGGTTTAATGTTGTTGCTGGGTATAGCTCTCCGTTTGTGTTTCTAACTTCCAAAACGAAATGACACAGATATTCATTCATTTCCTGTGGAGAGATAAATTCCAGTTCCATGGCACATGGAAATTTCGGCTGTCCTAATTGCCTTGCATTATTCCTCACAGTAACCCATAAATTCCATGTGTTTACACCCCAGTTTGTATTCCTTTGGGTGTTCTTTGGAATTCTGTCTCTAACTCTAAAATCAATATAATCCTTGGAGACAAACTGAAAACGACCCGCCATTTTTATAAGTTTTACACCTTTAGCGTGTTTTTTTTTTTGTTATTTTGGCTCGAAAAACTCAGTGTTTTACATTCTAGAATAAGTAATTTGACCTGTTACACCTGGAGACTTAAGGAAACATGTTTGTACGTGACTGCTGTGGAAAACAATGTTATGCTTAATTAAAGAGGTGACACTTTCTCTATTTTTATCTGACATCGAGTTGTAAGAGCCGATTTTCAGTTATATGGGTAAGAGTTCGATAAGACTCCCTACGGTCATCCTAATACGAACACTAACCCATACATAATTTAAAAATATTATATAAATAATATTGATTATCTTCTGTTTTCATAACTAAGCACTTGGAAGAGAAAAAGGAAAATCAAAAACCACAACTTCGATGACAAAGTATCAATGTTCACCAAAATTGCAAGTAAGTATCCAATTTTATTTGATTGTGTTGTAACTTTTATCTGTACGTTATACAAACGAATAATCAAATTTAAAGTCTAGTGAAAATGTACATTGTGTTCTATAGTTTTGAATGCAACAATTAATAATTGCTTATTTTGCGTTATATTTTGTTTTCAGCAGTTGCGGAACAGACAACTTGTTTGTAAAAATCTTACCCTTGACGGAGACTTCATCAGGTGACATAAAACAACTCTTTTCTACAGAAACTTTTATTTTTTATGTATATGCATTTAATAAAACATTCTGTTAAATTAATGTTTAATCGGTTAAAAACATATTTTTTCTAGAGAAAATTACCCTCTGTTTAAAGTAATACGAGTAAAAGTTGTTTTTCAGTTATTCTGAAACAGCAAACGGCAACATTGGTATATATATTGATAAAAATCAAGTTCAAGTTGACGACGCTTTTGAATTCGAGATTGTAAGACTTGATAGAGGCGGACATATAGGTAAAAGTTAACGTTCTATCAAATATATGATAAGCTAAGTGTTAATTAAATCTAAATACTTTGCGCACCATTATGTTGATTATTCTAAACTCTCACTATCTACAGACTTTTTTTAATCATATTATTTTTATATAATCAAGTAAAACCATGTTATTAAATAAAATGAACGTTATCTTAAAATACGTAACTGTATCAATTATGCAAATAACTATGAGAAATTAGGAAGTTATTCATTTTTTACGAAAATTAATGTATTAACTTTTAATATGTCAGCAAAACAAAACAAGCTACTTTTCAATTTTTACTTGTTGTTCTATATGCTTGTTTTGTTGATTTTCTGTTAATCAATATGATCCTTTACAAATAACACAATGACTCATTTCTTTCTCTAAATTGTTCATTTAATTGGCATTTAATTTATATCAATGTGATGGTTGTTTTTATGTTTACAATAAAATAACATATACTATATTATTCTACTTTAGCTATTGGCGTGGTATCAGATTATTATCCTGATAATCTTCTACCAGGATTAGCCAAAGAATCTTATGCATACCATTCAGACGGCAAGTATGTGTTTATTGCTTTATTGTTTAGATTCAGTATTACCGTAAAATTTAAATATTAAAGCGATTGAATTTATCAAATATTAAATAAATAAAGGAATTTAGCTTTTTTATTTAGTCACTGTTAGACATCGGATTCATACAAAATTTGAAAACAAGACAACACACATGGACTTGTTTCATTTGTTTCACTGTCACTCTGTCAGTTTATATGGACACACACGGGTTTAATTGCAGTACACAGATCGCGTGTACTTGATTGTATTAAGCTATAATCTTGACAATCTGCCGCCTTCTACGCATTTTTATATTGTAATCAAATCAAGAATCAAATAGTCATCGCAATTAAAGAACGACTTGCAAAACGTTTGATAAATTACCTATTGTGAGGTTATGTATATATATTTATGAATATTAGATTCAATGAGGTTGTACTTTCCCCCTCGTGGGATCAGATGAAGATACAATTGCAAATATATACATTATTATATTTATTATTATTAGTTTATTACAGTCTCATCAATGTACACAGTTAAAGTACATATAAAATACAATATAAATGCACATTGCCAATCTATAAGATTTACAAGAGACTAAAGGTTGACTTACTATTTACATGTAAAACTCTAAACATCTAAAATACCCTTGCTAATATAAACCAGAGTTGTGAAGAACACATGATAAAATGAATCTACTGATGTAATTAAAAATATTGAGGTAGCAAAGTAGCTCCAAAAATTCTATATAGAAATTATGTTGTGGTTAAATTTAATCAAAATCCGGTTTAGAAGATTATTAGCAAAGGTATTTTCTAGATAGTACATGTATATCTAAGAACACATAAAAGTTATTTAAAATAATGTCAGTTGTATAAAATTAGTTTTCTTCTATTCAATATGTTAAAAAACAGGTATTGGCAGTTAAAAATACAATGTCTGCATTTGAGAGAATATATCCTCTTTATCAATGTCTGAGAGGGCATCAAAACCATCGTTTAGCATCTGCGCTTCTCGAATAAAGTCGTTACGAATGGAATCATATAGAGGGCAATATAATAATACATGCTTTTCATCCTCTACAATAGTTTGACAGTGGGAGCACAATCGTTGTTCCACTGGCAAACCATCGTAGCGTCCTAACTCTATACCAATTGGAGCTGTGCCACTGCGAAATTTAGCTAAGGCACCCCTGTGTGACCTGTTCAAAATTAACTTACAATAATTTTCAGTTTCAAAGTTATTCTTGAATGTTTTATATAATCTTAACTTGTTTCTACCAGAGCCATTTCGGCCTGATTCTAGATTAACAATTATGAATGTTATCTTCCAGTACTTTAGGCAATATAATATTAAACAACTCTTGTTTTTGTATCGGATTTTCAACATTGCAAAATCGTTCCATATTATACATCTTAAACAACGTACAGACTTTAAAATTTCAATTCTTACATCTGTTACCTGACTTATCACTTGCCCATAAAAATATTTGTTTATTTAACCTCCCTATATTCATATTACTTAATCTCCAATTTGCTAAAACAGTTTTCCAACAAAAATATATTATAGGTTTCCAACCGATATCTCCACAGACTGCTGCATTTGGAATATATCTTCCAACATTCAAAAAGTAGCGTGCAGCTCTATTCTGCACAGCATTAATACAAGAGAAAGTGTCACAGCCCCAAACAGACGATGCATATGTGATAACTGGAACAACAGTAGCTTCGTACATTTTTGTATATGCTTCATAAGGCATACCTCCAAAAACTCTAGTTTTAGCAATTAACATTCCTAATGCTCTATGAGCAGCCTGAGCAACAGTTTTAGCTGTAATATTCAAGGTGTTCGGTCAAAACAAGACCGAGATATTTGTACTGTGTAACATAGTTTAAATTTGTATCTCCTATTTTAAACACATAATCTGAACAAGTTAAAGATGGATTTCTAAAGTGAAGAATGTTAGATTTTAGTGGGTTAACATTCATATGGTTTGTAATGCACCAATTATGAAGAACATTTAACATACTTTGAAGATCATTTTCACTTTCTGTTATAAGAACAATATCATCGGCATTTAACAGGATTGGTACGTTCTCACCATCAATATCAACCCCACTGCATGTGGCTTTCAGTTTCAAGGCCAAATCATCAATTATATAAATGGAGAATAAATACACAATATATATATTATAAAAATGTTAATTATTTTCTTCTTTTTACTTTTTTTTTGTCCACTGAAATAAGTTTAATAAAGGGCATTTTTCTTCTTGATTATTTGAAATGTTCTCTTCTGGTAAATATATTGATTTAACCACATTTGAGCAAACAGTTAAAACGCTAAACGAAATCTTTGTTATACTAAATATGTTAAGAGTACAGTAACAAAATATAAGCTGAACATATGAGTAAAGATACAATATATACGCTGTACTTTTTATGGTACAGACAATTAATTCATGTGTCTAACTATTGTTCTTTAAATGCAAATCAGTATGCTTATAAAACGAAACAAACGTTTGAACGTCTTTATCTTAAATAAAGACGTTATTTCAAAACATGTTCATTTAGAGAAGCTCTGCTGATACGAATTACTAAATTGCGTAGATACATGCACAAGAGAAACATAGTAACAATTAAAATAAATACTATAAATCTCCATTAAGGACACTGTAAATTAACCAATAAATGTACCGTAGATTTAAAGGCAAATTATGCATCATAAACAAATAATTTTTTACCTCTTTCGTGAGAACAATTAATTTTTTACCTCTTTCGTGCAAACATAAATTTTATAATGTTTAGATAATAGTTTTAAAGAATGTTAGATACTTGTTACCTGAGGAAAGCTGCGATACATGTGCACTAATTTGTTATAAAGGTAGCATGTAAACAAAGTAGTTATAAAATACGTATTAACTATAACTGTACTTATTGCCAAAGAGCAACAGATGAAACAGATGGTTCGGGTAATTGGCCGACGAGTAAATTTTTGCATAATATGAAAGAACATGAAAATTACAACGCTTTTGAGAAGTAAAAACAAAAGCATTTCTGAGGAATAATGGGCCTTTAACTGTGTGTCTTTATTTTTCCTATTTGCAACTGACCAACATAAACCTAATCAGTGATTTCAAATCAAAAAAAAAGGGTACCATAAAAACATTTTATTCCCCGTAGAAGGAGGATGTGATGATAAATGTTTCAATCTGTGTTAGTTTAATGTAATTAAACTTAAATATCTTTGTTAGTTTTACAAAAAGTTTTTTTATTTTCAAATTTGATGTATTTTTTTTTTAAAAGAAAACCCTTTTTCATTTGGAAAAAAGTATATTAAAAAAAAAAAAGCAAAAAAAATTTAGATTAAAAAAAAAAAGTTTTGTTTAGTTAAAAAAGGGACCAAATGATATAAAAATATTTTTTTTTGGGAAATCAAATAGGAAAAAATTAATGTTGCTTAAAATTAAAGAATTGTTTTTTTAATTTTTTATTTTTAAAATAAAAAATGATGAATTAAGTTAAAAATTTAATTT